TCTATCTGAAACATCAGAATTTGCAAGAAAATGGGTACCTTTCTGCAAGAAGTATAGCATTGAGCCCCGAGCTCCAGAATGGTACTTTGCACAAAAAATCGACTACCTGAAGGATAAAGTTCAACCTTCATTTGTCAAAGATCGTAGAGCTATGAAGGTGAGGTTTTCTATTTATGAGTATACTTCATCACTTGATCTTCCTCTAATTTAAGATCACTTGCATCTTTCCTTACGTTGCAGAGAGAGTATGAAGAGTTTAAGATTCGTGTTAATGGGCTTGTTGCAAAGGCACAGAAAGTTCCTGAAGAAGGATGGGTTATGCAAGATGGCACCCCATGGCCTGGAAATAACACCAGAGACCATCCAGGAATGATCCAGGTAAAACCATAGTAGATCTCTTTATGATGAACACAAACTTGTTAGGGCTTCTCAGATCCAGAGGATGTTTTAGAGTTGAACAACTTTCCTACAATAGCCATTAGAAGAAATACATATATCTATGCATTATGCCAATTCCATTGTCCTTTTCTGGCCTTCATACCTGTCCCATTTGATTTTCATTTATGTTACTTAGACTCATTTGGGTGCTGAACCTTACAGTCTGTTAATCGGGATTGGGGTCATTCTATTGTGACCTGGATAGGTCGGAATGTAGTGAAACAATTCATAGAGCGGATGCCAACCGATTTGGATTGAGGTTCAGTTGTGTTTATTTGGAGTATAAACATTGTCTAACTTAATTATATATATACATATTTTCATTTGCAGGTGTTCTTAGGGCAAAGTGGAGGTCTTGATGCTGAGGGAAATGAGCTGCCACGTTTGGTTTATGTTTCTCGTGAAAAGCGACCAGGCTTCCAACACCACAAGAAAGCTGGTGCTATGAATGCATTGGTGAGTATTTGACATGATTTGAGCTTCTTCCCTTCATTTCTTGTCTTGTCTCACCTCTTTGTGGCCCATACAAATGCAGGTTCGGGTGTCTGCAGTCCTTACCAACGGACCTTTCTTGTTGAATCTTGATTGTGATCACTACATTAACAACAGCAAAGCCTTGAGGGAAGCTATGTGTTTTATGATGGATCCCAATCTTGGGAAACATGTTTGTTATGTTCAGTTTCCCCAGAGATTTGATGGTATTGATAGGAACGATCGATATGCTAACCGCAACACTGTTTTCTTTGATGTGAGTTCTACGTTCTTTTACTAATCATGTATTTCCTTCATGTTAATATGGAATAGCAATCTGTTAAGCATTTGAAAATGTCTGAGAAAGTATCAGTTATGTTTTCTTGTGACTATTCTTTTTTACCATAATTTTTCTTCTTGATTTTAGATCAACTTGAGAGGTTTGGATGGCATTCAAGGTCCTGTTTATGTGGGTACTGGATGTGTCTTCAACAGAACAGCTTTATATGGTTATGAACCTCCGGTTAAACCCAAGCATAGGAAACTAGGAGTGTTATCTTCACTCTGTGGTGGCTCACGGAAGAAGGGTTCAAAATCAAGTAAAACGGGCTCAGACAAGAAGAAATCCAGAAAGCACATGGACCCCACTGTGCCAATATTTAGTCTAGAGGACATTGAGGAGGGAGTGGAAGGTTTGTTTCTTGTTTTAATGTTTTTCACTTCCTTTGGTACTCGGTATAGATATATCATTTAATTTTGTTTAGGTCATGTGATGTTTGATTTATTGAACTGTGTACTCTTTTCATCTAAGGGAGACTAATTTTTTTGGCATCTTTTTCTGATGTTTGACACTAATCTTCCCTCTCACATCAATCAGGTGCTGGATTTGATGACGAGAAGTCACTACTTATGTCCCAAATGAGCCTGGAGAAACGATTTGGTCAATCAGCTGTTTTTGTCGCCTCCACGCTTATGGAGAATGGTGGTGTTCCACAGTCTGCAACACCTGAAACTCTTCTTAAAGAGGCTATTCATGTTATTAGTTGTGGATACGAGGACAAAAGTGACTGGGGAACTGAGGTATGTTATCTATTAAACAGGCACTGTCTAATGTCAAGTTTGGCATATGGGTAAAGCATAACTAAGCAAATCTAGTAACTGAAATGAATTCTTGTTGCTTGTCTGAAGTGCATCCACGAGTTGATTTTGCTCCACTTACGGGAATGATTTGACACCTCCCACCCCAAAGGGGATAATATTTATATTACTAATCCATGCATTTTGTTGTCTTACAAATCATGATTGGACACCTACCCTTTGTTGTCTCTTTTGCAGATTGGATGGATCTATGGATCCGTTACAGAAGATATTCTTACAGGATTTAAGATGCATGCCCGTGGTTGGCGATCAATTTACTGTATGCCGAAGCGCCCAGCCTTCAAAGGGTCGGCTCCAATTAATCTTTCAGATCGTCTAAACCAAGTGCTTCGATGGGCTTTAGGTTCTGTGGAAATTCTTCTCAGTCGTCACTGTCCTATCTGGTATGGTTATGGTGGTAGGTTGAAATGGCTTGAGAGGTTCGCTTATGTAAACACCACCATCTATCCCATCACCGCCATTCCTCTTCTCATGTATTGTACACTGCCAGCCGTCTGTCTACTAACTAACAAGTTTATTATTCCTCAGGTTTGTTATATCAAAACATTGCTTTTCTTTGTGTCTAATATCGTCTTTAGAATATTCTAATTCTTTTGGTTGGCTTATTTTATTGCAGATCAGTAACCTTGCCAGTATATGGTTCATTTCACTCTTTCTGTCCATCTTTGCAACTGGTATTCTAGAGATGAGATGGAGTGGTGTCGGAATTGATGAATGGTGGAGAAACGAACAATTTTGGGTTATTGGTGGTGTTTCAGCCCATCTTTTTGCTGTTTTCCAAGGTCTTCTGAAAGTACTTGCTGGAATTGACACAAACTTCACTGTCACCTCCAAGGCATCAGATGAAGACGGGGATTATGCTGAACTGTATATGTTCAAATGGACAACTCTGCTTATCCCACCAACGACTCTTCTCATCATAAACTTGGTGGGAGTGGTTGCCGGAATCTCCTATGCCATTAACAGCGGTTATCAGTCATGGGGTCCTCTATTTGGCAAGCTATTCTTTGCCTTCTGGGTGATCGTCCATCTCTATCCCTTCCTCAAAGGTTTGATGGGGCGCCAGAACCGGACACCCACCATTGTCGTGGTTTGGTCCATTCTCCTTGCTTCCATTTTCTCATTATTATGGGTGCGGATTGATCCCTTTACCACCAGAGTTACGGGTCCTGATGTCGAGCAATGTGGAATCAACTGTTAGCCAAAACAACTGCTGGAATTCAGAAGTGCTGTTTTGGCCTCACCCAACTAAAAAGCTTGAGAGGTGGGAATCACGAAACCGCATGATTTTGCCTTGCTTTTTAATGTCCTGTTTGTCTATGTGAATTCACATAATGTGCAGATTATAGTTGGTGAAAACTGAAAACTAGAAAAATCAAATTTGTTGTTCCACGAGTGAAACGTCATAGTTTTGGATATAACTTATGGAGATTACTGCTTGGAAGATTTGTTCATTTATATATGTAACTTAATGGAGATTACTGCTGGAATATTTATTCATTCCAAGTTTATGTATTGCCAAATTGGGAAGCAATCTTGTCACGTATTTCTAAATCCAAAATTGAGCACAAATTAGAGGAATCAAAAACCTCAAGATTGGGCAACCATTACACATGACATATTAAAACAAGATTAGAGGAAATTGGAAAACGGTGCTCTAACATATTTAGAGAGCGTGTGGATTATATAATATTTTATGATAAGGGTATATTATATTAGCGAAAAGAAATATCATTTTAAAGATTACTAGAAATATTTAAAAAATGTGTTTAGTTGGTTCTAATAAATTAGTGAATAATATGTTTGTTTGGGTGGATATGTTATATAGATTACTAAATTGTCCTCATTTATAATATTAATTTAATAGTATTTTTTATTATTATTTCTTTTAACCTCCAACATTTGAAATTTTACTAAAACACACCAGTCATATAAAACTTTAATTTGTAGTAAAATCACCCCCAACCTCTCCAAGCCATTGTCAAGAGTTGACGGAGTGGCACACGACTGGCCGTATATGGCCGGTCGTGCATTGGGAAAGCCGAAAATGGTTATGGATCACAAATTCGTGGCCAGAAATTTATCAGATCTATGGTCATTTCACGACCAAAGATGCGGTTGTAAAACAGCTGCAGAAACTCCAGATCTTGCCATTTCCCAAAAAGACCTTACTGGTGCATAACTGATCAGATCCTGTCAATCGTGCACCATTATGGCAACTGACTCCGATGGTTGGTGGTGGTGAGTCACAGCCAGTGGTGGTCTTGGGTCGTTGGGGGTATTTTGTTAACTTTTAAACTTTTTTATGGCTTGAGTATTTTAACTGATTTCTTAAATGTAGGGGGACTGAATAATTGTTATTTAGTAGACATTTGAGGATAATTGTGTCCGAAATGATTTTTAATTAAAGGTAAAATAGGTAAAAAAATCATATTACCTCATTAATGTTTTAATAACACTCTTTAATAAGGTAATAAGATTATTCCTTATATTACGAATAGCAAATACTATATATAATAAAAGATTATTATAACATTTTATTACTTATAAACTAAAAGCAAGAATCTTAACAAATAATCAAAGATTACCTGTTATTCTATATCACTTGTCCAAACGGCCCTTTAAGTTTAGAGAATAGAAGATCAGCCAAAGAAAGACGTGAAATATACCAATCATGAAAGAAACACGTGGCGGTTTGATGTCCTTTGCATGGAACTCGTAAACGTGTCAAGAAATAGTAGATAAACTAAGCATTGCATCATCAAACATATATGACACGTGTAGGCTGTGCCACAGCGGAGGACCTGGAGCTCGACACGTGGTTAAAGCAACTATATTTGACGTAATCAACAGTTCCTGACTATCTCTATCTTCCTTTAAGAACCCTCTCTGCCCGCCGAACCCAAAACAAATCATATTCACGAATCTTTTGACATAAAAAAAAAAAAAAAAATTTTGAGGAGCTACAAATTGATAGTAACTGTTTGTTTCCCGCGAAAAGAACAAGGAAAAATAATGGCGGTTGCTGATACACCGATTCTCTCTCGATTAGATCGTTTAGAGAACATGGTAAGTCCTTTAAAACTAGATAATAATCGACAAATTCTGTTCGTTGATTATAATTCTGTGTTGTGGTTAACAGTTGAGACAACTAGAAGAAATTAGATACTGTAGCAGGTCACCAAAGAGCTCATACGCATCTACTCCATCAAGTGGGACCCTAAATAGTGATGGCCTTCCCTCCTCCGTTGATTTCTCCCCAAAGAGTCTAGAGAAGCATTGCCGTCCGATTAATCGTGTGGTCATGGAGACTGGAGTCAAGGGGACCCTCATTGAGAGACTTGAGCATGTAGAATACCGTGTATTCAAGGTAATCAATCACATCAATTGAAATTGTAACCGTTTGATTTTTTGATGATGAGGTAGTTTAATCTGATGGGTCTGATGTATTGTATCAGCTGTGTTTGCAGTTGGAAGCAGCGGTGGAAGCTGAGAAAATTGGAGAAGAAAAAGAGGAGAAAAGGAGTCATAAAAAGAAGGGCCTAAAGCAATTTGTTAAACTAATTATCAAAGGAAAACACAAAGATAAAGCAAGGATGAATTAATCACTTAATATAAATCTTCAATTTCGCTTTTTCTTTTTTCTTTATTGTGTTTTTGGTTCTCAACTTTTCTTGGGAATTTTGTAAAGTTTGTATTTTGATAGACTGCGACAAGAACAAGAGTGAATGATAATTTCCCACCCAAGGTTTATCGTATTTTTTCACCCATAAAACGTAGGAAAACAAATAAATCTTCCACCTGTTAACCTAAGTTAATGGATTCGGTTAACTGATAGGGTAGAGCTATAAAAAGATTATAATATTTTTTATCGCTTCATTCTCAACCCGAACCAATGTTATAAAAAAAATATTATTATAAAATAATCAACTATTATATTACCAAAAGTAAATAATAAATTTTTTTAATATAAAACAATAGAATTAACTATCAAAAAAATAAAAAGATAATACAATAAAATTAATAATATCAACAACTTAATCACGTGTAAGAAATCATTTAGAATGATTAGAGATGGAACAAATGGGCCGGGTTGCGCAGGTCAACCATAACCCGGCCTGTAATAAAGAGGGTTGAAACCGGCCCACCTTAATGGCGGGTCGAGTTGAGCCCAACCCGCCAACAACCCCCGGGCGGGCCAGGTTGCTATTTTGTCTTCTCTGCAGGAGGCCCACCAACCCAGTGGGTTGCATGCTGGTTGGCCCGCCGGGTTGGCCGAAAAATAAATTAAAAAAAATTAATTTATTTTTTTAAATTACCCTTGAAATATAGCTGTTAGAGGGGTCTTTTTCGTCATTTTCTTTCCCCATTTTTTTCTATAAATTGGCCCTAAACTCTCATATTTTTCTCACAACTCAAATTCTCTCATTCTCTCATATTCTCTAATCTCTATTCTCTCAATTATTCATTTATTCTCTTAATCTTTTTGTTATCAATTTGCTCTTATTTTAATTTTTATTAGTTTTTGCAATTTTCAATTCATATTTCCAATTTTCCAAATTCCAATTTCCAAATTCCATTTCTCTTTCTTTAATTTTTATTTCTTCTACATCAATTTTTTTTTCAACTACAATGGATAGATATTTCTCTCCCCTCAATTTCAATGATGAAGAAAACTACTATCCTAGTCCTAGTCCCGCTGATTTTACTATGAATGCAGGAGATTCAAATAGTCCCGCTGTCCCAATCCCAGTCTCAGAATCCGATACACCTCAAAATATGCCGTCGATTCCAACAGCTCCCGGTGGTTCTAGAAGTCGTCCTCGTAATCGTCGTCCTCGTCCAACTTCATCTCAAGCTGAGGCGGGATCATCAACTGCCGTCGAAAGCGAAAACAGACACACATCAGACGTTTGGGCGCATTTCGACAAGTTTTACGAGACAGAAAATGGCGTTCAAGTCAAGAAAGCAAGATGCAAATATTGTGCAAATGTTTATAAAGCTGATTCAGGTAATGGTACTAGTACTTTAAAAAGGCATGCTAATAAACATATTAATCAACATGGAAATAGAGAAAGCAATCAAACTCAAATAACTAATATGGGTACTACTTGGCGTTATAATTCTGATGTATATAGGGAACAGTTAGCTTTATATATTGCTGCAACTGATCAACCTATTAATATGGCTGAAGATAAATATTTTGAAAGATTTGTTCAAAATTCATTTTTTCCAGGATTTAAAAGTTATTCTAAAACTGCAACTAGAAATGATTTAATAAAATTGTTTAAAAAAATGAAATTAGAATTAAAAAATAAATTTCATACTTGTCATATTAGTGTGGCTTTAACTGCTGATATTTGGAGTGGTAGAGCTAAACAAGATTATATTTGTGTGACTAGTCATTATTTTGATAATGAATTTAAATTAAATAAATCTTTATTAGGATTTAGATTAATGGATGTGGATCATAGTGGTTTAGAAATCTATAATAAAATTATTGAAGTTTTAGAAGATTATGATATTATTGATAAAGTGATAAGTTTAACTTTAGATAATGCAAGTTCTAATAGTAAAGCTATAGAATTTTTTCAAAATAATTATCTTTTATATAATAATTTGAAGTTTTTTCACCAACGTTGTGCATGTCATGTTATTAATTTAATTGTGAAAAGTGGTATGAAAACAATTAAAAAAAATATTGATAGAATTAGGGAATCTTTAGCTTGGATTACTAGTAGTAATAAAAGAAATGCTGAATTTCAAGAAGCTTGTATAAAATCAAATATGTCTCCTAGAACTTTTGCATTAGATATGCCTGTTAGATGGAATAGTACTTATTTAATGCTTGATTCATGTTTACCTTATGCTAATATAATTAGTTATTTTGTAGCAAATAATAGAGGTCCTCATCATTTGGTAGAAAATGATTGGAAGATAGCTAAAGTATTTCATTCTTTTCTCAAATGTTTTTACCAAGCCACTTTACAACTTTCTGGTGTGTATTATCCTACTAGTCCATTGGTAATACATGCAATTATAAAAATTTCCGAGTTATTTACAAAAAACAAAGACAATGAAATTTTACATGCACCAATAAAGGCAATGGAAATTTTTTTTTTGAAATATTGGAAACCCGTTCCTTTTCTTTATTGTTTAGGTGCTATATTTGATCCTAGAATTAAATTAGCACGTTTAGAAAATGGTTTTGACAATTTAAGTGAAAATTTACAAACCGAATCATATGTCAATCAAATAGGAGAGGTAAAAAATAGTCTTTTCGAAGTATATTTCCAATATGAAAACAGGTATGGGAACCCGCAGTCGCAAAGAGGCGAAATATCCAGAGAAGCTGTAGCAGAAGAAACAAATGAAGACTTATTCTCTTGGAATGCACTGAATAGGCCGAAGAGGACCCGAGTCCGAAGCACAGCCTCCTCTTCAGAAGCACCACCACCAACAACAACAACAACTAATATGCTGTCCTCCATGGAGTCGCAGAGTAATGAACTTCAACAATATTTGGCAACCCCCGAAATGTTTTCAACAGGTCACTTTGATCTCTTAGAGTATTGGAGAGCCAGAAAATGTATTTTTCCGGTATTATCAAGACTTGCCTTGGATGTTTTCGCTGTTCCTGTCTCAACCGTCTCATCCGAACAAACATTTAGTGCAAGTGGAAGGATTTTAAATGAAAGGAGGACTAAACTTGCTCCAAAAATGATTGAAGTCCTCACATGTCTTCGAGATTGGGAACGATCGCGCCATCAAGATCAATACGAGGTTATCGACAATACTTTAGTAGAATCATTTCAATTTTGTAATATAGATGATACAGATGAGGGAGGTCCTAGTGAACCACCCCCAAATTAGTTGTTTTGTAAAATGTAATTTACAAATTGTCAATTATTGCACTCTTTTTTCTTTACCAAGTTTTTCTCCCATTGGGTTTTTCTTGGTGAGGTTTTTAACAAGGCAATAATTGTTGTAATTTCTTATTTTATTTTTTGATAAATGAATAAGTTATAAGTCTAATTTTTCTTATATTACAATTTTATTGTATTAAAATTGAATTAATATTTGAAATGTTAACCAAAAAAAAAAAATTGAATTGAATTGAATTATTGATATTTGAAAAGTTAACGAAAAACAATTATATTTATAATTATTTATTTGAAAAGTTAAATTAAAAAAACAAAAAAATTAAAAAAAAGAAAATCGGGCTAACCCGGCCCGGACCGCCGCCTAACCCGGCGAGTTAGGGTTGGCGGGCCGGGCTGGGCCAACCATTTTCGCCATAATGGCGGGCCTAACCCGACCTGCCTTTGTTGGTAGGCGAGTTAGGCCCGGCTTGCCAATCTACGTAACCCGCCGCAGGTCAGGCCGGGTGGGTTACTTTTCCACCTTTAAGAATGATAGGATGAGATCCGAATAATATAACCTTAAGAAGAATGTCGAGACCTGTGTAACACACAGTTTTCTTAAAATATATTTGCCTCCTTCACTCGGGTGTGTAAGGATTTGAGCAGCGTCTGTTTCTCAGGATACAACGACAGATGAATAGCAAGAGAAGCACCACTCTTCTATTCTAATGAATTGAATAAAGTTTTAACTCCAACAAAAGAAAATCATAAAACTATAAAGAAAATAACAGATTGAAATAGCTCTCAATTTTTATTTTTTTGGTGTGTTTGAAATGAGAGGAAGAACATATTTTTATACTACTCAAAGTGGGACAAAACATTGAATTCCACCATTTCACTTTCCAATTCTTAAAACTTCCTCCATTAACCTACTAACTTTTCACCTTTCAAATTCTCAATTTACACCACCACTTTCATTCCATTTATTTAATTTAATTTAATAAAATATTCCAACAACGGAAACAGGGTAAGTCCTGCAATCAATAATATTAACAGTCGTTCTTGCTTAAGGTTATTTTTGTCATCTAACAACACAGTTCAGCTTAATGCTTATTGTGATTCAAATTAGGCCTCTTGTTTGATTACTCGGAGATCAATCACTGGTTTTTGTGTATTTTTGGGAAAGTCTCTTCTGTCTTGGAAGTCTAAGAAGCAAGTTACAGTATCAAGGTTTTCTTTAGAGACAGAATAATTGGCTCCAGCAATTTTTTTCTGATCTTGGTTTTTCTAGTTCAGCTCATATCCCTCTTTTTTGCGATAAAAAGAGTAAGTCTTGTTGTCCGTGGTCAACAATATTAGTAATCGTTCTTATAATTTCAATTTAAAAGTCTAAGACCACAAAAAGAGCAAACTCCTTGGCCTCAAACTTTTACACTTGGCCAACCTATTATTAGTTATCATCTTGTTTAGTTTAGTCTATATTAATTTTAGAGTTAACAAATTTTAAAAAAATTTGAAACAAAAAGTTGGCTAGAACCGCATCAGGGGGTACAAATTAGGACTGTAAACGAGCCGAGCCGGCTCTACTCGGCTCGGTAAAAGCTCATTTAGAGCTCGGCTCAATAAGGCTCGGTTTGACTCGACTCAAACTCAGTTCATTAACCGAGTCGAGTTCAAACACAGTGAAGCTCGGCTCGTGGGCTCGCGAGCCTGGCTCGGCTTGATTAAGCACTGTACACTTCATAAGGTGTTTTGGTGATTTTTTAAACTATTAGGTATTAAACTGATATTTTTCAGTGAAAAAAGTTTTAAAAAATGATAGTTCCCAACCCAAAAAAACCCCCCCCCCCCCCCCC